GTTTACAAAATCGAGGGCCTCTGGCCCGAGATTTTGTAAGTTGCCCGAGATTTATAAACATCAAGTTGTGCCCGTGGTGCATACAAACTTTTATTTTTCACGAGAAAATCTGAAAAAAATACTAATTTATAAAATTAATTCGTAAAAAAAAAATTTACGTGGCGTTGATTTTGTTGTCAAGGAGATTCTATGTTTATTGCAAACACGGCGCGGCGTCTATTCACGGTGTCAACACGTATATTTTCGACCGCGGAAATGAATGAGGAAAATTGTGAAATTCCAGAAAACATTGTGAAGAAAGCGCAAAAAGCCAATGAAAATGTGTTACCTGGAACATCAGGATCCATATATGAAAAAGAATACAAAATTTTCCTTAATTGGAAGATTAAGAAGTGGCTTACTTCCAAGAATTGGTGAGTTATTCTGTTTATAATATAATTATTTAACTGTGTTCTTCATTTTTAGTCAGAAAAATATTCACCCAGTTCCTTATGGTGAAAATACTCGATGGTCAAGACAACTTTAAGAGTAAACGACAACATAGACATTTCTAATTATCATAGTTTGACATATTTCTATAAAAAACCCAAAAGGTTATGTGGAAAAAAATACCGAGTTTTGACTGGCGAACAAGTCATGCAATTTGTAAAAGATGCTTCCAACAACAAATATTTACTGCAGAAGGTAAACTAAGTTATTTTTTGATGATTGTAATTAATTTAAATACGAATGTTTTATGCAGTAAAGGTAGTTGGAGGATGAGTGAAGACAATTCTAGATTTTTATATAATACGTTATTCGGTGCTAGCAGAATGGAAGCAGAGGCAGAAATAATTCCAATAGAGGTACCTCCGAAAAGTTTAAGTTTACCTGAATAGTTTGGTATGAATAGAAGTTTGTAAATTGTAATTTGTATCTTCGTTTTTAAATAAATTGTCAAAAAATAAATAAGTGGTTAAAAATAAACAATAATTTTTTAAAATTTTTGTTTAATTCGGTTTAGCAAAATACGGCATAATGAGAGGGCATAATAACTCATTATGCCCGCTCATTGTGCCCCGGATATAAGATGCCGCTTTACGTTTATCAAATCATGGATATAAAACAAACATTATGTACGAGTGAAAAATAAAAAATGTTACTGGCTGCCAGTATAGTATATTACATATCGAGGGTGGTAAGAAGCTAATTACGAACGAAGTTTATACACGAGCGAGCGTAGCGAGCGAGTGATGTAATATGAGTTCGTAATTAGCTTACCACCAGAGTTGTGTCATATACTTTTTCTACGATCTATAATGAAGAATCACTTTCAGAAGAAATTTTTTTGGGAAAGCAAATATTTACAGTTGCTATGGAAACTATTCAAACAGGCACGTAATATATATATATTACGTGCCTGTTCATTCATTACATGCCAGTAGGTGTAACTATGGTTTTACTATGAGGCTAGACAGTTCGTAATTCATGGATTACTATGTGGGAGTAGAAAATAGTATATTACATAACGAGTGTGGTAAATAGCATATTACGCGCGAGTTGAAAAATTGCGCACGAGCCCCGTAGGGGCGAGTGCAGTAATTCAACGAGCGCGTAATGAGCGTTTGCACACGAGTCGTGTACTATACTTTTTCCACGACCACACCTCAAAAATATTTCAATGTGAAAGAAGTTAATATTTGATTTTAGCTATGTATTAACTACAAACTATAATTATACATTGAAAATGTTAACAATTAATTATTTGAATTGGTATGAAAGTTAATCGTAAAGTTTTGGCACTTTTTTGTAATTATTGGCGTTCCAGTTTTTTCTAGAACAGTTTAGTAGCACATTTCTCTAATACTACAGTTGTAGGTGCCAATATGGCGTTGAAGGCATCTCTTGAAAATTTTCAGTTCCAAACAATTGTAATATAGTTAATGTAAGATGTGTTGCCTACCTATTGTGTACATATGTAACCATACTTTATATCTGAATAAAACCAGTATACTCCTGACTCTGAGTCTGAACAGACATCACATGGCGCTGCGACAAATTGTTTCAAATTAAACAAAATTAAAGAAGCAAAATACAGTAAAATGGAGAGAACACTTCCCCCGATGAATTTCACCGACAATTTGGCCGTCAATTGGCAAATTTGGAAACAACGATTTCAAACATACCTAATTGCGTCGGAAACAAATACGAAAGAGGAAGCAGTTCAATGCGCCCAACTACTCCACTTTATGGGTGAAGAGGCCCTGCACATCTATAATACTTTCACCATTGCAGACAATGAACGCAACAAAATTGCCGTTCTACTGGAAAAATTTGATAATTACTTTATCCCCAAAACAAATGTAACATACGAAAGGTATAAATTCGTTAATCTCAGACAGACCCCACAAGAATCCATTGAACAGTTCACCACACAATTAAAGAATCAAGCAAACAAGTGTGAATTTGGAAATCTGAAGGATGACATGGTAAAAACGATATTAATATCGGGCATACAAGACGAAATACTACGGGAAAAACTTCTATACCAACAAAACAAAAACCTACAAGACGTAATCGAAGCCTGTATTTTATGGGAAAATACAAAATTACAGAGTCAAGATATGCAAAAACAAGTTCATGAAATACAACAAAAACGAGGAACTACGTTATCACACAAAATGCAGCCAAGGTCAACGACTACAGTTGCACCAAAAGTAACACGTCATCAACAAGCTGTGGAAGCAAGAGTCAACAGGTCAGTGCAAGATCGTTTCATAACTAATTGCAATAAATGTGGCAAATCACACAAAATTAATAACTGCCCAGCTTATGAAAAAACCTGTAATTTCTGTAAAAAGCTCAATCATTTTTCTGTAGTTTGTAAAGCTAAATTACGTAAATCCTTGCATGAAGTAAATACAAAACAAGAAAATGACAATAAAATAAAATTTTCCATTGACAGTGTAAACTATAAAAACAACTCATGGACTGTAAATTTACAAATACACAACATAAATTTAATATTTAAGGTAGACACAGAAGCTGATGTTAACATTATGTCATTACAAACATTTAATAAATTAGGTCTAAGTTTGTCAATAATAAAAAAATGTATGAATAAATTATATGATTATAACGGTAATCTGATACCTACAATAGGAAAATGTATCATTACTTCTAAATTTCAAAACAATGACTATGAAATTGAATATTTTATAGTAAAAGGTTATAATCACAGAAACATTTTAGGTTTAAGTACGTCTGAAAGGTTAGGCTTAATAAATCGTATAAATTTTGTTAACCTAAATAATCATTATCAAACTTTGTTAGCGAAGTATAGTTTGGTTTTTGAGGGCATTGGCATGCTAGGAAAGCCGCATAGCATCGAATTAAAAGAAAATGCACAACCAGTTTCGCACCCAATAAGAAAAGTCCCATTTGCAATTGAGGAACAATTTAAACAATATCTAAAACATTTGGAAGATAATAAAATAATTGAAAAAGTACATGGTAGTACAGACTGGCTCAATTCATTTGTAATAGTCAAAAAATCAGATGGATCGCTTCGCATTTGTCTAGATCCGAAAGATCTCAATAGAGCAATTAAGAAGCAAAAATTTAAAATTCCGGTCATAGACGAAATTATGAAAAACTTAAAGGATTCTAAATATTTTACAACACTAGATGCAACTACTGGGTTTTGGAATATTCCACTTGATGAAAAAAGTAGTGATTTATGTGTTTTTGGAACTCCTTTTGGCCGCTACAAATTTAAACGTATGCCCTTTGGCATTACTACTGCGAGTGAAGTTTTTCAAGAAAAATTTCAACAACTTTTTCAAATGGAAGGAGTAGAGGTCTATATTGATGACATTCTCATACACGGAAAAACCAAAGAACAACACGACCAACGTTTAGAAGCTGTGTTAAAAATAGCACAAGAACAAAACATCAAATTTAATAAAGAAAAATGTCGAATTGGCCTACAAGAAGTTACATATTTAGGTTATAAATTTTCAGGCAGAGGGGTTGAAATAGATGAAGAAAAACTCAGTGCCTTAAAAGAGATGCCATCACCAAAATGTAAGAAAGATCTTCAAAGATTTTTAGGACTTATTACATATGTAGGAAGATTCATTGAAAATCTTTCAGAAAAAACTTATTTGTTAAGACAACTTTTAAAAGAAAAGAATTCATTTGCATGGGAAGAAGAACAAGAAAAAGCGTTTCAAGAATTGAAGAATCTTTTGATGCAACCTCCTTGTTTACAATTTTTTAACGTAAACCTTCCAGTCACAATTTCTGTAGATGCATCCAAAAATGGTTTAGGAGCGGTGCTAATTCAGAACGGGTCACCTTGTGCATATGCATCAAAATCCATGACATCTACTCAAACGAAATATGCACAAATCGAGAAAGAACTATTAGCAGTTTGCTTCGGAGTGGAAAAATTTCACCAATACATATATGGACAAAAATTTACTGTGGAAACTGACCATAAACCACTCATACCCATTTTTAAGAAAAGTCTAAATGATTGTCCAGCTCGTCTTCAACGTATGCTACTGTCACTTCAAAAATATGACATTGAAATCAAATACAAACCTGGAAAAGAACTAATTATTGCAGATCATTTATCGAGATCAATGTCACCAAAAGTATATCAAGAAAAAATGGACTTAGAATGTCAAATTTGTCTAATAAATGATCGCATAGAAATCCGTGACGAACGCTTAGAAGAAATGATAAGTGCAACAGCTGAAGATATGGAAATGCAATAACTGAAACAATACATTGAAAACGGATGGCCACAAAACAAAAGTAAAGTACCAGACAACATCAAAAAGTATTATAACTTCAAGAATGAATTATTCCAAGGAATGGGTTTAATCTATAAAGGAAATAAAATAATAATACCCTACAAAATGCGCACTAAAGTCTTAAATAGCATTCACACTGGTCACTTCGGAATAAATAAATGCATTCAACGAGCAAACCAAGCAATCTACTGGCCAAACATGAATGTAGAAATAGAAAATTTTGTCAGCAAATGCCAAATATGTCAACAATATAGTCGAAACAATACAAAAGAACCACTAATATTACACCAGATTGAAAAAATTCCCTGGTTCAAAGTTGGAATTGACATATATGAATTGTATGGAGAAGTCTATTTACTCGTAGTAGACTATTATTCAAAATATGCTGAAATTGCAAATCTTAACAGAAACATGACCTCAACCTCAGTTATAAAACATCTGAAATCTATTTTTGCTAGACATGGAATACCAGCTATAGTAGTCTCAGATAGTGGCACACAACTGATTAGTCAAGAACTACAAAAATTTGCAGAAGAATGGAAATTTCAAATACACCCTAGTTCTCCATATCACCAACAAGGAAATGGAATGGCAGAAAGAACCATTCAAACTGTCAAAAAACTATTAAAGAAAACAATCGAAACAAAAGCAGATATTGAACTTGCCTTACTAGCTTATCGAAACACACCTGTATATGGCACCTACACACCATCACAAATTCTAATGGCAAGATTACTTCGAGATAACGTACCGAGATCCAAACATCATCTTGAATCTCAACTAATCGAGCGAAATAAATTTCATAAAGAAATGGAACAAGCCAGACAGAAACAAAAGAAATACTACGACAGAAGTACTAAAGAGCGACCAATTCTAGAGAATCTTATATATTATCAGGACAAACCTGGCACTCGATGGAAAAAAGGAAAAATAGTGAAGTCACTCAACGATCGTTCCTATCTTATACAAACGGAGGAGGGTAAAACCCTACGAAGAAACAAACAATTTCTCAAACGTAGAAGGGAGGAAATAGATATAGAAACGAATATTGAGAATGATATCGGTACCAATGAAGAACAAGACAGGGTACAACAACATGCGACCTTAGTTGTGCCAATTCCTCCGAATAATCGAATATCACTTCAAAATAGACCGCATAGAACGATTAAGAAAAATCCAAAGTATTTTGGTCCCCAATTTGTTAATTCCTAAGTTAGTAATAATTTATGTCTTGTATACATACATTAGTGTCATTGTGTTATTATTAGTATTAGTTTTATAAAAAGAAAGGGAGATGTAATATAGTTAATGTAAGATGTGTTGCCTACCTATTGTGTACATATGTAACCATACTTTATATCTGAATAAAACCAGTATACTCCTGACTCTGAGTCTGAACAGACATCACAACAATTCTGCTTTAAGAACATGAAAATTATGTAGAACAATCGGTGGACATATAAGACTGGTACAAAGAAATTTTTCCAATGAGTATCAAGTTTGATACCCGGGACCGTTGTTGGCCAAATATGCGTTATCCATCTATCATGGCACATAACATCAACGTCAACAAGACAGATTTACACAAAATGAATTTTTCATTTTCCTCATAATTTTTATGACAGTTTGTACCAGTTTTATATGTCCACCGATTGTACACAACCACAACGCGCCAGTTTTAAACGAGTGTTTGACAGTTTGCAATTTCCAACTGACATTTCCATCAAACGAAAATTCCCCAACACATGCACGTAATATTATTACGTGCTAGTTCTGTTTCATAACGTAAGGGTGCACGTAACTAGGCATTTAGACATCAACTAGGCTAGGCGTAATTGACGCTATTACATAGTGGTCGTGGAAAAAAATAATTACAGCCCTGGTCGTGTTCATACCGCCATGTATTTTAAACATTTTAAACTATTATAAGTTGAAATGACAGCCAAGATTGATTCAGGTAAATTTTCACTTACAATTGCTGCTTCCTCAGTAATATAGCTTGCGCTACACTCATTTCAATACATCGAAACAGATAAATCGAAAAATCTAAATGACAGGAGTAGACAACACAGTAAATGCTATGACAAGTGCCATGCTGACGTGCGTTTCCAAGGCAATACGTCTAAAGCTCATACGATGTTTCTTCAAATATTGGACCTTCTAGAGGTTTTAATAATTTATAATAGTTATTTACATTATGAGTGCGGTAGGTAACATTTTGCAGGTTGAGGTCCTAATTTGCCATCCGACGCGAAGCGGAGGGTGGCATGGGACCGAAACCTGCAAAATGCCTAACGCAGGAAAATTGTATTCAATTCTTCGCCGACATTGATTTTATTTTAAAAAATATTTGTTTTTAAAAATAATTTTCGAAATGGAAATAAATGAAGTGACTTTCTAGACTTGACATTTACTGAAGGAATCTATAATACCGACAGCCACGAGATGGCGCTCTGTGATTTTTTTTTTAAATAATTATTTTTTCTAATTCAAAAGTTTTGATCGAACAAAACATGATGTAAAGTAGTATTCTAGTATGTTTTCTTTTATTATTTATACAGAACTTTTTTTATTAGAGCTTCTAGAGGCTAATGCATATTGAATTACTATGGCACCCAGAGATATGTAAAAGACTAGATACAGATATTTAATGTTCTCGTGGACATACGTTTAGGCCCAAGATGTCACTGTACGTTTATATCTCCCTCTTTTTCTCTAGCACGTACAATGGTAACCCGATATCTGAAGGTCTCGCTCTGTACGGCGCAACCAATCAGTTGGCGCAACGTTTGTCGTTGATGGCCGTTCTTGTGTTTGTGCCGGTCCCTGTCAGACCACTCAGACTGTGGGTGGTTATGATTATTTATAATTGCCGCCATCAGAACGGGCCAATAACAAGACAACCACCTTTTAGAGAGTGATCGATGTAGCCTACACTTGGCAATCCATAGTACTGATGCTAATATAGAAAATGATAGGCGACACAAAGTATTGCTACTCTTAGATCATAGATGTTGGCCCTAGATCGGGAAAGCTATAACCGTATCTGTCTTTTACATATCTCTGATGGCACCCAAAGGCGGTAAAGCAACGGTAAATTGATATTTGGTGCGTAAAGTCATTGTTACGCGGCATGTCAAAGGTGTATGAATGTTTTGTTTACATGTCAGGAAGCGAAAATAGTTATTTACAAGTGAGAAACAAATAAACAATACAAGCAAGGTAACGGGTTTTTACTGGCGGACAGAAGGATATGACTGGCGAGCCGCAGGCGAGTAAAAACCCTTTTTTGGCCTCGACAACTGTAAAACTGACATTTACGTATCGTAGATAGCCATGGTATTTTGATTTTTACACATTGAACTGTCATTTACCAAATTAAGTGCGGTAATAAACACAGAAATTTTCAAAGTTTTAAAACCCTTGAAAAATTGAAACGCCATCATTAACAAAGCTTGTGTACCCCAAAATAAGATACCGCATAAATGCATCTGTTAAATCTTTTAAAATAATAGCAATTGATTTTTTTATTGAGTTGGAGAGCGCCATCTGGTGGCATAAGCAGCACTCATATCGAACTATCTGTCACGATTTTAATTTTATCGGACGTTTGACGCAGGCAAAGCCGACTTACAAATTCCACACAATTTAAAAAATTGGTCTAAAGAGTTTAGACAGTACTTCCCTCGCTGTCGGAAACTTGACGACTGCATGCCTATTGTGTTTTTTTTCTCATTACATTTTTGTAGTGGGAATTTAAAAAAAAATTGCGATGACGTCATCAACATTTTTGCAAGGACACGTATATCAGTTGGGATAGATGTAGTGTAATACTAAGAATAAAATTATTATGTTCTCAAATTTTCGAGAAAATGAATTGGGTCGTTTTGAATATTGATTTGTAATAATCAATAAAATAACGAAACAATTTACTCACGTATACGTATCAGAGGCAACTGAAAATCGTGTATGTATAAACATTCTTAATTTAAGATGACAGGCGTAACAGCATACGTGGGAGTCAAACAGAGAAACTGTAAACAAAACGACCATCGGTTTTATTGCTTGGACTTCCGCTTATTATATAAAACATTGGGTTTTATTTTAATTCTTGACGGTGAAATTCAAAATTGGTTGATTATAAACATGTCTATTTCACATTCGCGGAACCAAGTGAGCGCATAAAACAAATGCAGGTCTGTAATGTTAAAGTCGATGTAAATAAGCGTGCTACCCTTATGTTTCAACCGAGTTTTTCCTTTAACAAATTTTGTGTCTACCAAATTGGGTTGGTTGGGGTGTAATACTAATAATAAGTGTTGCCTTTAATTTAATCAATAAAATAAATTGACTTCATTAATTTTTTTGAAGCAACTCTTAAGAAAATCTAAAATATATGAATGGAATGATAAATCACAAGTACAAACTCATCATATTTTTTGCATTGTAGATAGGATTTATTCAGCAAAATTTAAGGGTGACGTCATCAATTTTTTTAGGAGGGATGAACAAATACATTTTGAACAAAAGTTTACCATGCTTATAATAACTTTAAAATATTCCCAAGATTTCAAAGCATTCGGTTTTCTAATTCCTGATTAAATCGATAAAATAAATTCACGCCTTCATTAATTTTTTTGAGTCACCCTGCATATGCAAATCCAAAAATATGATTGGAATGATAAATCACAAGTACAGACTCGTCATATTTTGTACATTTTAGATACGATTTATTCGGCAAACTTTTGAGCTGACGTCATCAGTTTTTTGTAAAAGATAACCAAATGTATTTTGACTAAAAATTTATTATGCTCTTTATAACCTTAAAACATCTGCAAGATTTCAAAGCATTCGGTTTTGTAGTTCCTGATTAAATCAATAAAATAAATTTACGCATTCATTAATTTTTTTGAGTCACCCTGTATATGCAAATCGAAAAAATTTGAATGGAATGATAAATCACAAGAAGAGACTCACCATATTTTGTACATTTTAGATAGGATTTTTTCAGCAAAATTTTGTGGTGACATCATAAATTTTTTAGGGGGGACGACCAAATACGTTTTGATCAAAAATTTACCATGCTTATGATAATTTTAAAATATCTTCAAGATTTCGAAGCATTCGGTTTTGTAGTTCCTGAGTAAATCAGTAAAATAAATTTACGCTTTCATTTATTTTCTTGAATCACCCTGTATATGCAAATCCAAAAAATATTAATGGAGTGATAGATCACAAGTACAGACTGATCATATTTTGTACATTTTAGATATGATTTATTCGGCAAATTTTCGAGCTGACGTCATCAAGTTTTTGGAGGGGATAAGCAAATATATTTTGACTAAACATTTATTATGCTCTTTATAACCTTAAAACATCTGCAAGATTTCAAAGCATTCGGTTTTGCAGTTCATGATTAAATCAAAAAAATAAATTTACGCATTCATTAATTTTTTTGAGTCACCCTGTATATGCAAATCCAAAAAATATGAATGGAGTGATAAATTACAAGTACAGACTCATCATATTTTGTACAGTTTAGATAAGATTTATTCGGCAAACTTTCGAGCTGACGTCATCAAGTTTTTGGAGGGGATAAGCAAATATATTTTGACTAAACATTTATTATGCTCTTTATGACCTTAAAACATCTGCAAGATTTCAGAGCATTCGGTTTTGTAGTTCCTGATTAAATCAATAAAATATATTTACGCATTCATTAATTTTTTTGAGTCACCCTGTATATGCAAATCCAAAAAATATTAATGGAGTGATAGTTCACAAGTACAGACTCATCATATTTTGTACATTTTAGATATGATTTATTCCACAAACTTTTGAGCTGACGTCATCAAGTTTTTGGAGGGGATAAGCAAATATTTTTTGACTAAAGATTTATGATGCTCTTTATAGCCTTAAAACATCTGCAACATTTCAAAGCATTCTGGTTAGCAGGTTAAAAATTAAATTTCAAAATGTTGTTTTATAATTTTGATTTTTTTTCCAAAAATCTGGACGTTTCGGGTGAAAAGTCGATTCAGAGTTGTAAACAAATGTGTAGGACTATGTTATTTTATACAATTGAAAACCCATTTACTATGTACAATTTTGAAATGACGTCATCGCATTAGTGGTGGGGATGATTCGACAAATTTTGGTTAGCGTTTTACCATCTACATGATATTCTTAATATAAGTACAAAATTTCACAAC